TACAAATTCCCTCGGTGAATTCCTCCTCTAAAATTCCACTCTCCTCGTCTTTTTGTTCTCCATGCAACGTTTTATTGCATCGTGGCGCCCGTGGGGCCGAATATGGAGATGAATATTCAGAACCAAAATGACATGAATTTTTCCCTGATATTTCCGAATTTTCACTGAATAGTTCAACCGAAAAATCAAGTATTTTATTGATTTTCAGATCGTTCGAACAGAAAATCAATAGAACATTTGATTTTTAAATGACAAGATTTCCTGAAATTCCATCCAAAAATTTTTAACATCGTGATAACTCTCTCAAAATTACTTCTCCATGCAATATTCACAAACTCCTCTATAAAATCAAGTATTTTATTGATTTTCAGATCATTCGAGCAGAAAATCAATGGACCATTTGATTTTTCAATGACAAAATTTCCTGAAATTCCATCCAAAAATCGTCAACATCGTGATAACTCTCTCAAAATTTCTTCTCCACGCAATATTCTCAAAATTCTCTATGAAACTACAAATTCCCTCGGTGAATTCCTCCTCTAAAATTCCACTCTCCTCGTCTTTTTGTTCTCCATGCAACGTTTTATTGCATCGTGGCGCCCGTGGGGCCGAATATGGAGATGAATATTCAGAACCAAAATGACATGAATTTTTCCCTGATATTTCCGAATTTTCACTGAATAGTTCAACCGAAAAATCAAGTATTTTATTGATTTTCAGATCGTTCGAACAGAAAATCAATAGAACATTTGATTTTTAAATGACAAGATTTCCTGAAATTCCATCCAAAAATTTTTAACATCGTGATAACTCTCTCAAAATTACTTCTCCATGCAATATTCACAAACTTCTCTATAAAATCAAGTATTTTATTGATTTTCAGATCATTTNGGTTTTATACGCATTTGGGGGATGGGGATTTCAATTCGAAAGATGATTTTTTTGTATCAGGCTGGATTGTAGCAAGCCGTCTTAAGTGTAATATAAGGGTAGCCACTAAGTGTCAGAATATAAGGGTCAAAAAATGGAGGTTAAAAAATGAAGGGCAGAATATTAGGGTCAAAACACTAGGGTCAGAATATAAAAGTAAAAAAAGTGAGTGTGAGGCCATGAGGGTTGAAATATAAATCATATATTATGCTTGATGACCGTTTTTAGTCCTTGAATGACCCTCATTGCCTGACACCCACTTTTTTTATTTTTATATTCTGACCCTCATTTTTTAACCTCCAGTTTTTGACTCTTTTATTCTCACACTTAGTGTCTGACTTTTATATTACATTTGAGAGCGATTGGTACAATTCGGGTTGATACGAAATAATCGTCCTCGAATTGAACCACCTATCCCCCATTCGAGTATACAATATATACTTGATTCAAGGATATTATATACATATAAGTATTATATAATAATTATATAATAATATAATAATTAGAAATTTCTTGAAATTTCAGTCACCGCGTCATGTGAATTTTCGATGTTCTGAGGTTGAATTCAATTTCAAATGAAAGCGTTCACTCATATTCTCATTCATCTTGAAAATTCAAGAAAATTGGGTTTTTCATGTTGAACAATCATTGATTTTTCAATGAAAGCTCGAATTTCTAAACTCATCGTGAAAATTGAACATCACATGCAATTCAATTTTCAATAGATTGAGAATTCAGAAAAGTTGTTGCCTGAATTTTCCAAATTTTCAAGGTTTTTCGGTGCCGAATAGACTTGAAAATCGAGATTTACTTGAATATTCAAGAAATTGACTGATTCGTCAATGAAGAAATGTACAGAAATTTCATGTAACTTTGTCGTTGTTAAAAATTTCCTTTTTTCACTCGAAATTTCAAGAGTAATTTTTTAACAGTGTACTCGAATCAACAACAATATACTTGAATCAAGTAGAAAATATACTCAATTCAATTTTTTTTTGTGAATAGAGTCGAAAGGATCGTAAAGTGATGGACAGATTGTCGAAATCCACGATTACAAAGCTTCCATCCGGAAGCAAAAAGAAGAAAGATATTAAGGTATTTATGGCGTGGTCAGGAGGGATCGAAAAAAAGTCAAGAAATTGATGATTTTTAAAAATACATTCTTTGATTTTTTCAAAACTCCTATGCAAAATCCCAGAACGCCTAGGAGAATGGGTGAAACAGAAATTTTTCTTAAAAATGCATTTTAACCCGGGCTTTTATGGGAATTCGGAAAAAAATATTAAAAATAGAAAAAAAATCGTCATGTTCCTGAAATTTCGCACTTGGATGGAGCTATCATGGAGGAACACAAAAAAAAATCCAAGTGGCCTAGGAGAATTGTTTAGAAGAGTTTATCTAAAAAACTTATGAAAAATAGGAATTCTGCGTGCGCAAGTTGGAATAGCGACAACGTCGAGGTTAGGAATCGTAGAGGGGAAGCGCGGCAAATACGAAAGGGGTTGTAATGATACATTTCGCTATGGGAAGGAACATAACAGCTGAGTGAATCAGTGCTGCCAACTTGTACCTCGAACGGCACGACGTTGTCACTTTTTCTATCCATATTAATTATTTCCCAATTATCCAAAAGACAAGCTAGAAAAATAAAAGAAGGCTTGAAATATGTGGAAAAAATAGAAAAGTTATTAAAAAAATATTTCGAACACAAAAATGGTCGAAACAGATTGAAAATTTGTAATTGAAATATCGTTTTTTTTAGTTCAGCGATTGGTTTTCAGCGAGAGAATAATAGATTTCCCTCCGTCTCACCTCCTACATGCCCACCTCGCCATAAATACCTCAAGAGGTTATGCTCTGCGACTCAGATTCTCCATCGACAAAGATTTCAAACTTGTCACCATCTTCGTGAATCAATGAGAATCCCTCAAACGTCTCTCAAGAAGCTTCTCTCAACTCCCGCTTAATTATTCCTCATCTCTCCTGTTTATTATTTACGACTAATAGACATGCAGAAAGAAACGAAAGCGATGACGAGACTTTGCAAAGTAAAACCCCCGAGTGTTAGTCGCGAGACGGAACAGGGGGAATCCCCGGGTAATCCCGTTAGATTCTCCTAGCACTCAGTCCCCCCTGTTAATCCCCCATCCTCTCTTTTTTTTCTCCTAAACTTGCTACAGGCGTAATGAGTTTTCCCAAAAAGGGCGAAAGTTCTCAGTAATCAGGTAGCTAACGTAATCTCATTTCGCTGGTTTTATTTTTACTTTTAATGAAGTTGCATCCGGCGAGGTTGGTAGCAGTGAACGCTCTTGTGTAATCCTCTCTATTGAATTTTTAATACCGCATGTGGCGAGTCCCCCATTCAACAGTTTGGAAAAGCGTTGGTGTACCCGTTAAGCAAATACACGCCTAAAATTCCTCAGTATTCATGCACACATCTCGGGAGTTTGCTTTCCTCTGATTCATAAAGATGAAAATTTTTCCATTCTTTTTTTTTCCACGAGGCAGAAGAATCCTTTCAACTCCTCTCAAAATACATTATCTCATCGTCACTCTGGGGAATGAAAAAAAAACCTTGGAATTTGATTTACAGTTCTGAATGAGCTTGAGGGATTAGCGAGAGGGGCAGATCCGAGGGATTGCACACCAAATTCACGGGCTACGCTCAATCCAGAGCACGTTGCTAGGGTGGCTGAATCCGCTAAGTCTGCGTTATCTTTCGCGAGGAGTAGGAATCCAGCGATAAGATGCCTCACGACTAGGGGAACTGTTTTGTCATCCAGTACTTTCACTGTCGAGGAGGACACCAGTCTCGACGGATTGACGAGGAATGATGACAGGATCTTGGCAACGTGTTTGAGCTTGTGTAAAGGATCCAAGGATCAAGTAGTTGTTGGTGAGTACTCATTTGTTCAGGTCAATTCAAATTGACACATTTTTTTACTTTAAGCGGACGATGATGTTATTGGGGAATTTCGGTGCGTCGAATTTTGTAATTCTGTCTCAATCGATTTGCGATTTTTTGTTCTTCTTAAGGTGTTTCGTACGAGAAAGATAAATAATGAAGTTCATCTGGAATTTGTATTGAATGTTTATAATCACAATTTAATTATCTATGAATTTTGGTAGATTTTTTTCAGATTTACTTTTCGAGTTATTAACCATCTGAGCTAATAATATAGTTTCATTCTAAACAGAAAAATCTCCGTAAGAGCTCATGTATATAAGAAGCGACTTCAATCATTAATAACTTGAAAAGGAAATCTGAATTTTTTTTAGGAAAATTCAAAGATAATTCAATTGTGATTATAAACATTCTATATGAATTTCAGATGAATGTCAGTATTTAGCTTTTTCGCACGAAACACCATAACGGGACATTCACCTGAAATAAAAAAATTGTTTTTCGCGAAAACACAATTCAAAATATCATTGTTCGCGTGATTTTTCCTCAGAAATCTGATTTTGTTGAGCGAAATAGTCCCCGGCCACTCAAAATTAAGGAATCGATTTTTTTTTAAATTAGAAAATTAGTGATTATATTCAAAAACAATTTTACAAAAATCATTGAGGATGTTTTCAATTCTGATTTTTCGATTGAAAAATCTCAAATCCCTCATTTTTAATGGAGAGAGACAAATTTGACCTACAAAATCGGACTCCTGAGAAAAAATCCCGCGGAAAATAGGATTTCAAATTTTTTTCTCGAAAAACGAAAAAGTTTGTTTCCCGGGGTGAACCTTCCCTCAAATGTTCCATTTCTTTCTCTGAAGTATAAAAAACAAAGGATAAGTGCATGCCATGCTTTAGAACATGAACTCTGACACGAATAAAAAGCTGTGATTCAATATTTCGTAACAGTACCCCAGAAAAATGATTTATTTAAATCAAATAAATAAGTTTATTTAAATAGTATAAAATGAAGTTTTTATTCACATTATTTTTTTTATTTGAGGTTCTGTTTATATTAAATGATTTTCTTTCATAATTAATAAATTTTGGGTGATCCAAGTAAATTCTTCACTAATAATAAACAACAATTTTTTATGTTAAAAAATTCATTTATTTGAATTGAATACATTTTTTCCTCGACCGAACTTAATGAAAATTGATTTCGATACTTCGACGCACGATAGATCGATGTCCCCGGCTCCAATCGATGTCTCCAGCCATAAAAAATCGATTCGCCAGATTCTCGTAATTCTCCACTAAAAAATCCCCGATAGAAAAGAAATAATTAACTCCATAAATGGTACCCTTCCTGCTTCAGAAGAAGGACAACCAAGGCGCCTAAGACGAGAAGTGGTCCTCCTCACTGAAGATAGAAATCTCCGGGTAAAGGCACTCGCCAGAGACGTTCCCGTAAGAGAAGTACCCGATTTCATACAATGGGCGGGTCTAGGTTGACTATCCGAATAACGTTTTTCCACGTGATTCCACTTAATTTAAATGAACCATTACTCCAATTGGAATGATGTGAATCAGTCGATAACCAACTGATTTTAATTTGACATTGATAACGTCAAATTCATTCAATGGACAAGTGGCCACTCACGGTCAGACATTTATCCTTCTTGATCGAAGGGTATTGAATTTATTTATAAACTAGTAATCCCTAGGACATATTTCTTTAACATATTGTAGAGATTTATTAGCCCAACTTAGATAGCATCTGTATTTTTTCCATAAATTACAATCTTTTAATCTAATCGATAATTAATTGCATCTATCCATAAATCAATTGAAATCAGTAATTTTTTCTGAATGCAAATACAAACAGTGGAATTTTATCGGACAGTTTCGTATTATACTTTACATTGTAAATGTTTCATCATTATTTTTGTTCAGTTGAAATGTCATTTATTGCATCTGTTGAATCACATAACATGATCATTACACATTTAATCATGATATCTACGTTGGGATGTTGACGATGTCTTGCCAATGGCGATTAGAGACGAAGACAAATGATATAATTGGGTAAGATGAACCTATTAGAAGAAAACATAGTAAAAATAAACTGACATCTCCTGTGGTTAGGACTAACTGACGGCATTAATCAGGTAATTAGATGTTTAGCAACAGTGAAGAGGAAAACAATTGATTTTACATAGTTTTTAGAATGATGTAAGAACCTTCAGACGAATCATGAATGCTGAAAAAATAAATGAATGAACGGAAAAATAAGTAAAATTGAATTAGGTGATAATGGTCAGGCATTGACGCTTACGGCTACAAGACACTTTGTATTTTTCTTACCTCCGCCGGAGCTGCTGGGTGCGAGACGTAATGCACTGTCAGAGTAATTAATTGTTTTTGTGATTGCATTATTAAAAATATCTAGACTAAGAAGATTGGTGAATCATGGAAACGATTTAATGAGTGTATGTGAGAACATTCCGACGGTGCGAGAGATAATTAAGAGATTATAAGTACATCTGGAGGAATATAACATCCGACGTAATTGGAAAATCTTGAAGAGAATTTTGCATTCGTCGATGCTTTTTAAGGAACTTCCGCAGTAAGTATATGGGAGTAGAAGGGAATGGACTGTAGAGCTGAAATATTGAGAATATATTCTTTGAGTGATTACGAATATCCTCCCGAAGTCCCAGAACGCTGAACCAAGTAGATTATTAAGGAGAAAATATGAAAAATGTGTCATCAATACAGAGTTTTATGGCACCAGTTTTTCAAACATCACAAAAAAATAATCGACAATGGAATAAAAATCCAAACGCTTCACGAAGAGAACCGTATATATTTCAGGAACATATCCCCACAATTTCATTAGTCGTCACCACAGGGATTACTTGTAATTATTGAAAATGTAGGGCATAGTTTGGGATTTTAGTTACGTTAGAGGAAACTGATGGCTGAACATGGCAACGAGAGAGGTTAGAGTGCGCGCGGCGGAGGCCATCGTGTGAACTCCGCCAAGGCATAGGGGAGGTTGGGGTAAAATGGACACTTTTGACTTTTTTTAAAATGTTAATGACGTGCTGAAATGTTGATAAAATTCAATAATTTTTTATCGATTGCAAAGAACAATTCTTTTCCTTTGTGATGAGCCTAAACTGAGCTGAATTGATAAATTTGTTTCTGAGTTATGAGTAATTAAAACAAAAGTCTAAAGTGTCCATTTTACCCCACTCTCCCCTATGCTACAGATTCTATAGTACACTATAGGATTTTATCGGGACACAAGAATACCAACTGCGTCGAACAAAAATGCGCGGTTGTCAAATCTCATGAAAACTTTTATTTGTTAAAAAATTCGGATAAATAATATTTCGGAATAAAAATCATTTGGAATTGATTAATCATGAATAATAAGTGCAAAAGAATCCAAACGACGAAATATCGATGCACCCGTGAACTTTTCGTCATTTCATTATTTTTTTTTCAAAGGATGCAGCGGAGTGTCGGAACCTTTGATATTTTCCCCCACTCCATAGATCCAAAATTTACTGCGGAAATTCCTTAATTTTCACCTCGGTAAACTTGAATGAACTTAGAAGAGCCAGTAAAGTGTTTTAGAACTACTGAACAACAGTAGAAATCAACGGATACATATTTTTGACAAATTAGTTATTTAATTATAATATAATGGTTGAGTAATAATGAGTGGGAAGTGAGCACGTGAGAATATAAATGACGAAAGAATGCCAAGAGAAGAAAAAAAGGAGGAAATAATAGAGAAGAAAGAACTCGTCTTTATCGTCTAGTGGAATTTTTGTAATTAAATGTTAGGGGGAGAATTTCACACGAGAAAAATACGTAATAATAGAGCGACTACGATCGAAATTGATTCAAGTCGAAAGGTGGTTTTTAGAGTTTTTTCTTTTCGTCTATTTTAGAACTGTTTTTTGTTCCCTTTTAGCTCAATTTTATTCACTTTTTCGAAGATATAACTTTATTATTATTCTCATCATTCATTCATTCGTTCATTATGACTACATAGTTAGATTTATTTTGGAGAGAGTGACAAGTTGGTGAATGAAACAATCAAGAGAATGAGTTTTTGAAAAAATGACATTACTTTACATGCGATAATAACTCGAAAATACTGTGAAATTTCTCCTGAATATCGTGACTACCAACGAGAGCGTTCATTCATCTCACTCTAGCCCTCTTTTTATGATTTATAGCTTTGCAAACAGAAATGCAATTCAATTGCTGAATCGAAATAAACTTAAATACGCAAGACAGAAGTATGAAGCATTATCCTTATTTTGGTTTTTATCTCAGGTAACAAAAAAAAATCGTTAATCTTATCGCGTTAACTTAATAGAAATCCATTACACAAATTTACTGATTTATTGTAATACGTAATAATGAATAAAGAGAAAGTAACGTGACACAGCAAAACTGAACTAGTTTTCATCCTCCGTCCTTTGACCCTATAATATGAAAACGAGACAGCGTTAGTCATGATTTGAAGGTTTACACGTGTGTTCATCCATTTCCGATATTCCTATGCAAAAAATTGGATTTCTCTCCCTAGATGGCGAGAGAATAGACAGTAGCCTATCCCCTCTTCGGGAATATGGGAATTTTAGGAGTGACACAAGTTACTCATCTCTTACCAGTTAACGAGAAAAAAAGCCATTCGTTACACATTCAAATTTATTTATTCGATCGATTAACACAGCGTTGGTCGCACAAAAGTTGCGAACGCCATTGGTCGCGCTGCGCCGTACCAGGGGGCCTATTCTCGAAATATTTCCGTGCGCGGAATCGACGCCGTTGACGGAACGCCTATATGATTCCTATACGCAATTCGTCTACGAAGCCACTTCCGTGCACGGAAATATTTCGAGAATAGGCCCCCCAGTAGACATTGATATAATGATAAATTCGAAAAATTTGGGAAAAGTCTGAAAATAATCAAGATTGATGTAGATCGTATACCTGAAGAAATCCCGTGAGATTTTGTAACTTCCCGATCTATCGGGTAGTCATAGTAATGACTCCGAAAATCGAATATGGAATTTCCATGATTTTTTCACATTTCTTGACGTCTAGAATCATTTTGAACAAATTTTTATGTTCAGTGTTAACCTTAAGTTACCCTTAACTTTAAAAATCTTTGCTCAGCCTTAATTTCCGTCGAAGTTTCTAGGCAATCGGAGAATTTTCTTCAATTTCTCAAAATTGGAACATTCCCCCGAATTTTCTAGAAAACTGGAGAATGTTCTACAAAAATCTAGAATTTTCTAGAATTATGATAGATGACGCTTCGGCATAAAAACTTTTTCCCAAAATGATCCTCCATATAAAACCATAGACGTATTCACGTCAAAATTGTGAGGAATATCCCGTGTAAATCATACAATCAAGAATCCAGTATGTGTAGAATTTCCTCAAATTTTCTAAGCAACCGGTGAAATTTTTTAAATTTTTTAAAATGAAATTTTTTTTTTTATTTTGAAAATTTTCTCGCAATTTCTAGAAAATCGGAGAATTTTATAGAAAAATCTAGAATTTTTTATAATTCTGATAGATGGTGAATCACACGATCAAGAACCCAGCATGTGTAGAACTTTCTCAAATTTTGTAGTCAACCGGTAAATTTTTTCAATTTCTTAAGACTGGAAATTTTTTTAGTTTTTCGAAAATTTTGAAAATTTTCTCGAAATTTCTAGAAAATCGGAGAATTTTATAAAAAAGTCTAGAATTTTCTAGAATTCCAATAGATGGCGCTGCGGCATAAAGACTTTTCCCAAGATGACCCCCCATTTGAAACCATAGACGTATCCACGTCAAAATTGTAAGAAATATCCCTTATGAATCATTCAATCAAGAATCCAGCATGTGCAAGCATATACCTATGGGCACATTAGCGCCTCCTACTTGGGATTGAATGCCAAACTCAGGTGAAGAGTCCTTGTATGGAAACAACCTGCAGCAGATCTGTACGAATGTTGCAGTCGTCATGAGCAGCTCCACGAGTAACGTGGGAGAACAAAAAGCCATTTTGAAATGCTCAACTTTTCGCCCTTGTTGCACAATGTTGCACAATGCACTATTCAATGTGGGCTGAATGTAAGGTGCGGGACTTGCCCGAAAATCATGACATGCGTGATTCACCTGTTTGTGAATCGTGACATAAGTGGAAGGCCCTGTTGCATGCTGTACTGTTTCATCCGTAAGTATAAAAATTATCCATTGAAGTTTTGGTTCATACAACTCCACCAGATGAGGATAATGTGTTTATGACAGGAGTGGAATCTCTGAAAACAACTCTAATTCAGTAGTGAAGTGGTGAAACGGTTCAAGTCGACTCATCTCCCAGTTGAGTTTTTGAGGAATATTTCCAAATCTAAGGGAGATAGCGAAATTTTCGTAATTACATTTCTTGTAGCTCTCAATCGGCTCTACAAAAAAGGTTATAACAAAAACTTTGCTATCTCCCTTAGATTCCGAGATGTTCATTGAAAACTGGTCAATAATGAAAACTGACTTGTACCGTTTTACCACTTCGCTACTGAATTGAATCTATTCATCCAATAGTTTTTTAGTTTCAAATCCAAAATATTAACACACGAGTTTAGCGTTCCCGCTTTTTCACGTGTAACGTACACTATTTTTTGAAATTAGTGTTTGGAAAAGTCATACATAATTTTTTTTAACCGGAAACTACTTCTGAATGGAAAATCCTACCAAACCCTGTCGGCCTGAGGGAGAACGAGCATCCGTGCTTATGTAGGCGCTGTGTGCTGTAGTGAGCGTTCCGTTCAGAGGATTGATAGCATCGGCCAAAAACTAACAGGGACGTCAATCAAAATACACTTGAATTTTCCAGCGAATTCGGTAGATTTTTCTATGAAATTTGTTCGTACGTGCAAGCACGGACTGCACACAGTTACCCCGTAAAATACTGAGATCATTAACAATTAAAAGCAGAGAATTCTAGCCGTATGACTGATACAATTCAGTTGAGTGGACCGACTGGACCGATGTTTTCAGCTACACACGCAGTTACAGGAATAACGACACCGGATTGGTCGAAAATGAAACTGCAGCGCCATCATTCAAACAGTGACATAGGAATGAACCCCAAGTTGTAACTAGAAAGTCAGCTATTATAAACGAAAAATGAATCCTGTAGCCAAAAAGTCACTTTTCCTTTACTGTCATAAAAGCTGCGAAAAGGGCCACTTTGCGCACAAAAATCTGTGAACGAAAACAGACTATTCCAAGCACGTTTTCNAAATTTTCTATGAAATGATATTTCTAATATTATTATTATCAAAATTAAGATTTTTTAATAATTTATTTTTCATTTTAATTTTCAGGTGTATTTTCAAATTTAAAATTTAACAATTTTGAAGATAATGAAGGGGATTCACTGGCTGAATTTATCAGTTTTTATATGTAGTTTTATATTTTGGTACATTAACGCTGGGGTGGCGCCACACGTTTTTCAGTCCTAAGGAATGCAATTCTCACTTTTTCACTCCTAAGTAGTGCATTTCTCACTTTTATATTGCTCAACGGTAAAAAAACCTACTTCTCNGGCGAGTGGGAGGTTTATATCACGAGCCGAAGGCGAGTGATATAATCCCACGAGCTAAAAAACATTTTTTCACGAGTTACGAACAATATTTTTCATCACAATGTGGCGGAAATTGGACTTTTAGGCACGCGGAGCGTGCCGAAAAGTTCACTTTTCGTCACAGCGTGATGAAAAAAAAATTAACGTTGAGGCAATGTTGAATTCAGTTTAAAATACGTCATAAAAATTTCATTCGGAAGCAAACTGCAA